CAAAGCTGGCTGAATGTATGCTTGCATGCCCCCTAAGTGTGACCAAATTGCCCTTATAATTGGTGGGAAGTTTTTTATGAACTTCAGCATGAGCTCTGTTAGTCCATAACTTACAGGTGTGGAACTGGAAAACTTGGATGCTGCTTAGCAAGATCAGTGTAATACCTCTGGGAGCAGCAGTATAGTTTAGATGTTATTTCTTTAGCAGGGCTGGAATTCTTGGAGAAGAACAAAATAGCAGGTGGAAAAGTAAGGAGCCTGCTATGAATCTTAGACGTGTATGAAGGAGTTTGAGGTCTGTGAGGTCAGGCAGTGTGGGTGGCTTTGGTATTTGCCCTGGTATTCTGCTATCTTATATTTAATGTCAATGAAGTGAGTTTTTCCACTTAAGATAAGCACCTGTGACAGCTCACCTGTGTTTGGGATGCCTGGTACTGACATGTGGGTTTGGGACGATGCTGTATTTGTCAAGGTGATGCAGAAAGAGGAACTGCAGATTGCTTGAAGAACAATTTTTTGGTAGCTCAGACTGGAAGGGTCCACCTGGGTCCTTATGGCCTCGCCTATGCAATTGCTATCTCACTGCAGTTAAAGTCCTTCATTTGGCAAGCTGATGGCAGGTGTAGTTCAGTGTGCTAAGGATCTGTTGAACTGCTTTTGCTTTGTAGTTGTTTATCATCAGTCTTTCTTCATTAAGAAGCTTATTTTCTGCCTGTTACTTTTGGTGTTGTCTGAAGAATCTAAATAAATCTCCAACAATGTAAATATACATTTACTATAAAAATTACCTACACCCACAAGAAAACAGATGCACCAAGAAAGATTCTATTTTTTTCCTGGGAGGACACTTATGTATTCTATTAGCAAAATTACTTTTCATCTCTGCTTTAGCACAGCTATGATTAGGAACATAATGAGATGAAGTAGACAATGCAAACTGAGCAATCACTTGTGCCCTCCATTCATTTCTGAGGCATATATGTGACTTCAAGGGGCTGAGTTTCAAAGCCAAACAAAGCCCTTCTGGGATATTGCCAACCCAGGCATTCATAAATGGTATATTCATTCTGTCACTTTTGAGCCTTCAGGATTCAAGGTTATTATTTCGAACTTTCTTCATCCATCCATGGATGCTGGAAACATGTTCTGTGGTGTGTATGGAGATTCTCATATACCTGTCTGAATCCAGGATTTAAACTTTATTAAATGTTTCCTCTTTTGTCTTTCACCTTCTTTCCTCTTTTCTTGAAAATAGTGTGGAATTTCAGGTAAATTAGAACATTTGATACTGCTATTGCTGATGGATAATTTGTGATGAAAGTAGATGATCACAGTGAGGTTTTAAGCTTCTAGGTTGTTAAAGAGTAAACAAAATTGTTGTTGTTGAGCTTTGCAAAAAGGAGTGATTTTCTTTTCCCCTGCAAAAATACACTCTTGGCCTCACAACATGAATTTGTGCTACACTGTCGCTTTCCTTATGCTCAAACTGAAATAAACTGCAACCTGAATCCAGGTTCCTTACTCATAAAGTAATTTTCTTTTTTCCTCAAGTTTTTCTGTTATTCTGCAGTCCTTGCAGCTGCACAGAGAGGGTGTGAGGATCCCAGCTGCTGATACATGCTGGTTTTAGCAGGACTGAGTGTGATGAGATTCTCTATATTTTTCTCTGAGGTAAACAGTTTCTGGCTGTACGACAGAAATATTTGATCAATCTGGGGAGAACACGGTCCCACCCCTGTGTCTAGAGTGTAAGCTAATTTCATTTACTTGGATGCCCTGCTGTTCACTGGCGGTTTAACCAGAGAGCTGGGGACATCATCACTGCCAAGCACATGGAGGTCTGCCCAGATTCTTTATAGTGCTAAACACCCACTCCCTAATGATGAGCTTGGCTGAGCCTTATCTCCAGCGAGGAACACAGCAGCTTGGGGAATAAAACCCACCTGGGGACCCATGAGAGGGCAGCATGTGATGGCTTGGAGAGGCTGGAACAATGCGTGTTGTATTTATACAGCAGTTATGCCCCAAAACACCCCTGCTGCCTTGAATTTGGCCTTTTTGGCGGTGCAGGGGTTGAATTTCTTGGTTCAGGTGAGAGCTCTCCTGGGCAGTTTTCACCTTGGCAGAGCTGGCTACCTGTGATGCTTTTGTCAGTGCACATTTGACCCATTACCTGCTGCAAGTTCGTTTCTCTTGCAGCCTGCAGGTAAAGTGCAATAAAAAGATCCCTCCTGCCTGGTGATTTGGCTGCAAGCTCATGGCGCTGCCAAACAGGGAGAAATGGGGCTCAGTGCAGTGTTTGCGCTGGAAATTTTTTCCTGTGGTTTATGATAGCAGTTGTTGCTGAGGAGGGCCTGTCAGCCGAACTCAGCAGCTGATTCAGAGTGATGCAACTTCCATGGATTGTCTTAAAACTTGCAGTATTGATATGAGAATTCTTTAAAATCCAGCTAGTGAAAGAAGACTTTTCTACAAATTTTACCTTTCATTTTCAGAATGTGTGTCATTGGCAAAGTAAGCTCTAAGGAATTAGAAGTCAGATACCACCACCTCCCACAGCCTCCATACAATATTTTAAATGAATGTCTGAAGTTAGTCACATCATTTTTAAAAATTTTAAAGCCAAGTTTTCTCAGAACAACAAACACAAGAGGCACAGCTGTAGTTCCTAAGCAAGTTCCATATGCACAAATGGGAAGACATTGGGCCCAGTTCGTTTTTTCATTTTCAGAAACTGCCCTAGATTTTCCTGTTCTGGTGTCAGAGATAAATTTGTTGCCCTTTCCATAGACAGCAAGTAGGAACAGTAAACTCAGATGAACCAAGAGTGTGGAACAAGGAAAAGGGAAGCTGAAATGCTGATACCAGCACAAGTTATTTCTCAACAACAGAAGCAGTGAGTTTTCATCTATCCATGTTTTTATTGAAAGGTGCACAGGCAGTAATTATCACATGTATCACTTACCAAAATATCAAAACCAACACAGGATTAGAATTCAGTCGCAGTTCGTTTACTAGATAGTCAGCTAAAATCCCAAAGACCGAGATGTAGTTGTAATTGTACTTATTTTTAGAGGTTTTCAAAGTTGTGCTGAATCTCTTTTTGTGTACTGAAGAGAGAGTTCAGGGAAGAGTGGTTCTCTCTCATGAACTGTTCCAGCATATTAAAATGGCAAAGTTTGGCTTCTCTCCTTGGAAGCCTTTTAAGTCAGGGGCTGACATTGTTCTCATGAGTGCTGTCATTTGGCCAGCTGGAAAACTACCATCTCCTGTTGTACGCTGCTTGGTGAGAATGGCAATGGAGAGGGTAGTTGTCATAGTTATCAGATTAATTCTGTCTTCATTTGCAAGTTTAAACAAATTATGTTGAATGCGTATCGGAACCTGAATTTAAAATGTAGAGCATATATATCTTACACCATTTAATCAGTTTCAGGTGCCATTTTGCTTGCCCATAAAAGTGCTCCTTTCTTTTCCCACAAGTGAGTTCCACATGTGTGTCAAGATTTTCAAGAACTTACTTGTTTGCTTCAGTGCAAAAATTATTACATGGTGTTGAATTCTGGTTAGTGCTGGGCATCTAGCACATCCATGAAAGGAGTCGGAGCTATTTCTTCTTAGGCAGCATCAACAGATTTGTTTATTAAATCCCAACCTGTTACTCCAGTGGAAATCAGCGGAAAGCTTTCAGGATGGCACAGGTTGTTGCTTGAGCGTAGCTGGTCCTGCCAAACCTTGTTGACGTTAGGCAGGAGAGAAGGAAGGAAGGAACCTCACTAGATTCTGGGGTGTATTTAGGCTTTGAACAAACATATTGCTCCCAGTGCATCAGTGCGGCTGGAAGAAGTGACTGCCAGCTAACTGTCCTTAGGAAGAGTGAGTCCCTTGGGTGGAGAAGAGTAACATCCAGGGAGGTGACCTGTGTCCTCGCACAATTGCAGTTGTTCCTCAGTTGGAGTTTGATCCCTCCCTGTGTCCAGGAGGCACGATCTGCAGTGCCCCGGGGTAGCTGTGAAAGCTCAACGCCCCAGGATGAGGTTCAACCCCTGTCACACTTTGAGGACTGTCCCTGTGCCAAGGTTGCCACAATGGATGAAATTGGGATGGGGCTGTTACTAGCACTGCTGGACACCCTTATCCTGAGCCTGAGGGAGGGAGCCAGCGGGAGCCACCAGGTCGGCATTGCCGCAAGGTGCTGGGGACAGCCACCATTCTGGCAACATTCATCTCCCCAGCTCCCAGAGGTACATGCTGCACTTGGGGGCACCCACTTTTCTGGCTGAAGACTGGCATGAGTGTGCACCCCTGTGCAGTGCTGCCTGCGGTTGTGCTGCTGGGGTGTGGCAGGGTCTGTGCACTGGGAAGTCTGGGGAAGCGGCTCTTTATTGCTGGTCAGGCACATTTGATGGGAAGTTTTGCCAAATAAAAACTGGAGCTCCAGGGACATTGTTCTCGCTGTCACCTTTAGGGCAAGCAACACCTCTGAATTAGATTTCCTGTTATTTCACATGTCAGTGCTGGAAAATAAAATTATTTGGTGTGTTTGTTTTCACAGCTCAAGGCTAAATCTCACTTGTAGCATAAGCAGGTGTCATTTCATTGAATAAATACAGTTGTACTTCTCTTTGAATTCTTGGATTTCTTAGTTAATCTTTGCTGCCTTTTAAAGAGACTTCCTTTCTCAGAAGGATGTTTGGAGTCACGCTGTGAAAGCTTTGCACTGGTTTGGGAAAATTGGGAGGGAAGGACTCCCTGCGCACTTCAGCTTTCCCCAAACGATTGCTTCTGTCACAGCAGATTAATCTGGGAAGTTTGCAGGCTGGAGACAACGGGTAGCAGGGAAGATTTGTTGAAGGGTCTGGAGAGGGGTCTCTTCTGCAGGTCTGCAGCGTGGAGAGCAAATGGTAAAAGCAGTGGAAAGGGAGAAGACACACCCCTGGTGGAACGGTGCCTTCCAGGGAGCAGCACCCACTCGCTGGTGGCTGGAGCCGCAAACACAGGCATGCACAGTCCGTGAGGAGAGCGGGAGCTTACACGATGCGCTTCAACTGACTGCAAAATGAATGAGCTGCTGTTCTCGGGGGTCTTTCGGCCCCTGTCGGTGGTGTATGAGTACGCGGCTGCATCAAGTGCACTTTGCATCAGCTGATGCCTAGATAACACGCTACCAGAGACGGAGACTAGGCAGAGCCTTGACTTGAGGGTTTGTGTATGATGTGCTTGGCATTATCAAATTCCCGTTTGCTGCAACAAAAAGGTAAGAAACTTAAAAAGTGACAAGATAAAAATACCTCAGCCTCCCCCTCAGATAACGAGCAGTCTCACGTTAAGACTAGCCTTTGTCTGAGCTGCATTTTCAAAGCCATGGTCCATTAGTCTAAAGCTTCTGTGTGGATGCCTGCAAGGCAAATTACAGCTTCCAGTGTGACAAAGGCAAGTCAGATTTCTTTTCTCCAAGAGCTGACACTTGACAACCTCCAGTAGAGCAGTGTAACAGCAATGCTGGACTGTGTGCTGACCGGTGAGTATTGGATGCTGTTCTCCTTGCCTTTATCCCTTCAGATGTTGCTCAGCTGAGCAGTAAAATGACTAATGGATCTTGATGATTAATAGGTTTGGGGTCTGGGTTCAGCTCAGAATTACATGTTTCTAAACTGCCTGCGGTTACTGGCTGCATATTGACCAGCCTGATTCTGTAGAGGATGATAATAATTTGTTTTTATTGGTAATGCCGTGTTAATAGATGAAAAGTCTCTGTAGTTAAGAACAGCAGAAACCGTATTTACTGAAGAGAAGAAACCTCCCTGTGTTTTCTATGCAATGCCTGTGTAATGATTTATGTGTAATTCCCAGGTAACTTGTAGCCAGCTGATGTGGGCTTTCTTCTTTCAGCCCATAACTGACCATGGAGATTATGCAATTTGAAATCTTATTAGAGCTCCAGAAGAAGTAAATGTTTAAAGACAGAAGTAGTATTACACTGGGGTGGACAGGGAGGGGTTACATGCATATAAAAATATATTTAGTTGAAGTGAAATGTTTAATGGCTCTTTTGACAGAAGAGGAAACTTTGGTTTAAATGTAATATATTGCCTTAAGGTCTCTGTGCTTGCTTAATCCTATCTGTATTCATAAAGAATTTGCAGCAAGAGAAATGTCATTGATTTGTTAATTGATATGTAGCTTTGAATCCTCATTATGCTGGGTGCAGAGGGGAGGGAAGAGAGACAAGCTCATTTTTCTTTTTCTTTAAACTCAGCAGCTTCACTCTTTAATTAGGTTTCTCTCATGTTGTGGAACTTGCAATAGTTTTTGCTTTCTTAAAGGATAACAAACACTGCTGAGTCTTGATCTCTATCAGGGAATACATGAAGTGTTTCATCTCTTAAAACTATGGCTTTAATTATGTTTTTGTAGCTGTTGCCTTGCAGTTAATGTAATTATAATAACTTGTGAGTGAGGAAAAGTATATTATTTAGCCCTGGAGCATTTCTCAGTTAAAAATGGCTTATTTATTTTTCATGAGAAATTAAAACCAAGAAAGAGAAAGTGGGGGTTTATTATGTAATGCCAGTTAGAATTTATTTTTTTTTAAAGTATAGGTTAGGTTTCCCTTCTACAACAGTGGATGTATATCAATAAATAGCCCTATCTCTGAAGATACTTTAAGCATTGATCTGTTGGAATACAGATGAGGATCAAATAAACTGGGTGAACTAGTATTTTAGATAATGAAGGTGTGTATTGAATGTCTGAGGGGTATCCTGTTGAGCGAGGCTTTCTGGTTTACCATGCAGAGTTTCCTGTGTTTTATGGTGTGAAGTCGAACTCTGTGTTACTGGGGACAAAATTGTGATCTAATTGATGTTGGTGTGCTGGTATTGATTCAAATGCTCTAGTACAGCTTTAATTTGTGTTAGAGTGCAGGCTTTGCTCCAATGTAGCTTGAGATAGGCTGAGATAACCTTATTCTCTGGGTGAAGTTAATCCAGGTCAAAACCTGAAACTTAACAATTCTAAATCAGGAAATACCAAGTCAGTAAGAAGTGTTCAGCTTCATTGCCTCTGATCAGAAAATATCTGGCATGTCCCTGAATTTGATTTGTTGTCTCTCAAGGGAAACACCATCCTCTTTCTGTTGTTATTGTTGTATTTGGATGTGAAATTAAAGCCTTTTCTGTATGTTTTAAGAAGTTTTCAAATTGGAAATTTCTTCATGGCTGAATGTAATAATTCTTAAAAAAATTAAACCAGAAAATCTCATCTCCAACTGATCCATCCAAAATGGTGGTCTGGTGATTTGAGGAAAAGGTGGCCTGCCCTTCAGAGTTCTTTTCATGCTTCCAGAGATGTGTGTGTTTTCCCTAACAAGCCAAATATAACGTTTCCTAAGGGGAGGGAAATGGTCTGCAGAGGGTTATGAGAGATGCCCCTGGCTTACATCAGGAGAGGTGGTGCCTGGGGTGGCTGTGGACTTCAGGGAGCTGTGAGTACACCCACTCTTTCATCTCAGGTCTTCAGTCACCATCACTGAAGTGTGTGCAGATGAGGGGAACCCTGAAGAAATGGTAAAGTGACCTAAAATTGCTTATTTATGGAGAGGACTGGAGGAAGCAGGTTGCCTATCAGGTACCTGTGTGATGTCTAACACCCACGCTATTAGATTCAGAGCCTCTGGTCTTAGGACTACAATTTAGTCTTCACAAAACATGGATTCATATAATGTGTCAGGCTGTCTCATATTTTCTTTTTATTTTAAAACTAGAATCTGGCTAGGTTATAGCAGTCTTCATAATATATGATTAGCAACAGAAGGCTAGACCAAGCCATCAATTTTTAAGCATAAATCTTCTCTGCTGCCAGTGGAGAATTGCTTAAAAATTAATGGCACAATCTGACCCACAGTGAAGAGGGAATTTCTGCAGCAAGTGTTAGTTGTGCTTCTGCTCAGCCTCCATCCTGGTGGTGACAGACACCCAGAAACTCAAGGCCAGTCTGCTGGAATAGTCTGCTGCTTGTTGGAAGACGTAAGGCTTAAGGACTATTTTAAAAAAAAAAAAATTTAAAAGGGTTTAAAAGCTACCAAACCCTTAGAAAAATTAGAAACCACAGCCATTTTTCTCTCAGAGAAAGCAACTATATTTCTCTTAATGGCATACATAAGTGAAGGACATAATCACTCTCTAAGCAAAAGAGAAGACTTCCAAATGCATAGAGATGAAGGTTGTTTCCTTTATTTGTTCATGTTGTGTTGTTGAGGTGTAACTACATTTTACATAAACATTTTTCTGCATTAAGTGCTACTAGACTTCATAATTACAAATTAGAAAACCAGAGCAGGGCTGCTTCTGTACCTGAGAGGATATGCTTGGGCAAGTACTTGTAACTGTAAATAAAGATGAAAGGCTCATGTCATGCATCATTATTTTTAATCAAGTAAAATATGTTTTACTCCACTAAAACTCTCCAGTAATTGAAAGCAAAGACATTTCAGCTGGTCGTTATCTCTTAGGAAGAGAGATGATGGCCCAAGGCTGCTGCTGATGGGTGTAGTCCCACGTGAAAATGTTCGAGGGCTCTGGAGGTTGGAGGGCAGATCTCTACTTGCTGAGGGTGTAGGTGACACGTGGCAGCCTTATTTTTTCTGATCTGCTCAAAAAAGACAATTGGGGAAGCTACAGAAATGAAGAGGTGTAAAGCATTAACCTCTTCACTGTGTTGGCTGAATGTGTCAGTCACAAAAATTGTTGGACTGTAGACTTAAATTCTCTCTGCCAGGTACAGGGGAGGAGACTCCTAACATTCTCCCAGGTTCACATGCAGTGTGGTACCCCTCTAAAACATTGATCGAGTGTGGGAGCATCACCTTGATCCTTAAAAACCTTATCAGAGACGCCAGCAAGAACAAAAATGTGCTGCGGCTGTTGGTGTGGTTTGCTCTCCATCACATTGCAGTCATCACCATCCGTTACACCGCTCACTGCAACCGCCTCCGCTGCGCCCCTGGGCTGGGTGCAACCCTCTGGGAGAGGAGTGCGGGTGAAAGGGGGTGGGCAGGGACACAGGTACCCTCAGCAGTACCACAGTGTGCTGTGACTGAAGGCACTAATGATAATAATAATAAAAGTGCCTGCGGAAGTGGTGGGGAGGAGGAGGCAGCGTCCCCTCAGTGCTTACTCGGAAGGGGTGCTCCTTTCTCACGCCTCTGCAGACTGGAAGGTCACAGGCTGTTTTCCTCGGAGATTTTGGCTTTTTCCCCTCAGAAGTGAGTCTCGAATCCTGCGTAGCAGCCCTGACACAATTTTCTAGGTATCATCTTCCCACATTATTGGCAGGCTCTGGCTTGACCCCTTTTAACTCACTCAGCTTGAAAAAGGATATGTAGAGCACTGTACCCAAGCACTTGCACAGCTGCTCTTGCTGTATTTCTGGCACTTAGAGCCATCAGCAAAATCTACCATTTGAACTGAAGCTTTCTGTGCCTGCTTTTTAGCCTTGGAGTGAATTTTTAGATTGTATTTATTTAAAGTTTAAAGGTAAATCATTCAACCATATTCAAGCTACCAAACTGTAAAGATAACACAGGCAAATTGTCTTTTGTCTGAAAGTAATTAATGAATTCCAAGACACTCTATGAGGAGATACTGAGTTAACTGGAAAGCTGTAATTAACTGGTTAGAAGCAGTTTGATTCATGTGCAGGCCACAGTGTGGGAGTCCCCCAGCTGGAGCTCTGCTCATTCCTCCTGTGCTTTTTTCTTTGTGCTGGCAGCTGCAACGGTGATAGTTCTGTTCAGTTGTGTAAATTCTATATTGCATAACAATTGGGGCATTAACAGATCTCCCTTAAGAGTTTGCACCAGCAGGTCGTGTTTTGTGTCTAATGGTGGTACTGTCTTCAAAATCTGCTAGATCTAAGACAGTTGTTTTTGCTTTTTTTGTTCCCCTGATACAGTGTGTATAAATTGCTGGAAGATTTTTCCAATATAAAGCTTTTTTCTGAAAAATTATCTCTGTCCACTTCATATAAAGCCAGTGATTAATGCACGATGAAAAATATGTGTATTTTGCAGCTCATACTGCTTAGGAACATTGTATCTTCTGGGAAAGTAAAAGTGACAGTACTTTTTCAATTCTGATTTTCAAACTGGCACCAAAATATAGAACAACTAAGGGCTGCTTCGGCTTGAAAAACTTCCAGTATTTGCAATACTGAGATCTAGTTTTGACCTCTTAATTTTTAAAATGTTATCAGTGGGCATGGAGAAGTCCTTGCTGATTCTGCAAAGCCCAGCAGAAGGGCCATGTATCTGGAGTGGGAGAATGAGTGGAGTTTTGGTTGGGGTTGGCACACAGGTGTCACCATGGGATATTGAAAAGGGGGAGCCCCCAGTTCACTGCATGGAAGGAAGTGGAGCAGAGCACCCTACGTTTCTTCTTTACGATGCAGCTAAGTCTGACACTTCCACTGTAAGATTTCTGGGAACATCCATTACATTTGTGAACTTCTTTCCAACTTGGCTGCTTTCATAGACTCGCAGAACAGCGCAGGTTGGAGGTAACATCATTAGACTATCTGATCCAGCCTTTCGTGGGGAGGGAGCCCAGATGAATTTGTCTACCACCCTGTCCAGTCACATCTTCAAAATCTCCTGTGATGGGGACACTACTGTGGCCCTGGAGAGGTTGTTACAGTAAATGTTCTTCACAAGGCATCACATGGAGATGGCAAGGGACAACAGGTGCAAGTTGCACCAGGAGAGGTTTCATCTCAGCATAAGAAAGAAATTAAACCTCTAGCTGTGTACATATGCATCCATGTGTGCCTTGCACTCCTGTGTTGGGCGGATGCATTAGCTTACCATATGCATGCTTAGTTAAAACCTGGCTTAGAAAGGCTATGTTTATTCCAAATCTACTCACTAAGCTAAGCCATTTCTAAGCAACAGATCAATCCCTGTAAGCTTTGCAGGCTTGTTAAAGTGAGATGTCTAATAGGAATTGGATCCCTTCCCTTCAGCGTGCTTGATCCTTAATCCTGCCCTTACTGAGATGAGGTGACTTTTTCACTCTACTGCTTTTTCCTCAGTTACAAACAAGGATGATGTAGGGTCCTGTGCTTTTGTGCACAGTGCATGAGTCTTCCTCAGATGCTCACTGGAGATGAGCCCTTCTTCGAGGAGTTGTGAGATGCATGCAGGAGGTGGGGGAGGGAGCAGGTCTTGAGCAGCTCTCTTCTGGAGGATGGTTATTATCCCTGTAGAGACTATACATTGCATAAAATGACGTCTTGTTTTTAAGGATCGCTGGGGAGAAGCAGGGAGCACCCCACCTTGTGTGGTGGCTGGTGTGATCTAGAAAGCATCCAGCTGCTATGGGCTCCGAGGAGCTGCAGGAGGGAGCAGGGCAAGGGGAGCAGTTCTTTGCTGGGAAAGAGATGTTGGTTAAGTCATATCATGAGTTAGAGGTTGCTGAAGTGCTTCAGGAATGAAGGTGTGCAGTGATCTTGTGTGTCCTAGCTTGGGCTCAGTGCTCATATGAGGTTGTTACCCAGGCTGTCACTTCTTCAGGGCGCAACTTTCAGAGAAGCCCAAGTGACCTTGGGGCATGAGCTGTTGAATAAGACGTTATAAAAACACTACATCTTTATACTCTCAATTTAAACAGTCTAAGGTTTTCACAGCCTGAAGAGTTAATCTTGTTGGTTTTGTCAGTGGCTGCTTTAAATAGCGTTGGTTTGGAAGAAGGGAGGTTCACGCACTTTGTGTGTCTATTTATGCTTTCTGCATGCTACTTCCCGGATTTGTGTGTGGTATTTTAAGCCTGATTACCTCCCAGCGTTGATATGTTTCTACTGCCTCTCTAAATTCAGCTGATGCCTGTTGGCTTCGTTGCATGTTTCCAAAAATACAAACTTCAGGATTCAACCAAAAATAAGCATCAAAATAGTGGCAGTATGCTTAGATACACTGAGCTGCAAACAAACAGTGAGCGTTAAAAGTACTGCACTTCTGGCAGCTACTCTGTCTCCTCATGTGCTGGAGCTCTGTCTGCGTGAGCACTCTCTAACTTGCTCTTTCTGTTTCTTCATGCTTCCGTGGATTCAGAGAGAGGTAAATGATTTTCCTTTTTCCATTATCTGTGTGTTTATCCTTCCGGCACGCACCGAACAATGCTTGTATTGGTTTGCTTGTGTCAGTGAAGAAAAGCTGAACTTCAGTGAGTAAATTCCTATCTCTATGTCACCTTTTCACCTTGCTATTAACAGTATTTGTCAAGTTGAATTGCCTGCTGTTTTTTTTCCAGGTCCCAAACCCTCATGTACTGTAACAGTTTAAAATCATGCAATGCAGTGGGTTTTGACATATGCTTCTAGGGTTTTGAGTTTAAAATTTAGACTTTTTTTTTTCTTCTGTACTCTGAAGTGCAAGAAAGTGGTATTAAAATCCCACCTTTTATTTATAAAATCAAATTAAAAACCAGGATACTAAGAGCAGGGAATTTAAGAGCTAAGTTTAGCAAGAGTTGGAAGCGTGGATGTTTGTTTTCTGTATTTGGTATTTGTTTCAGATCTGGCTGGGTTGGTTGCTTGTCTTTGGAGTTGGAAGCAAAGTTGTCCCCAGCATGTTTGATTTGTGTGGCTGCACAAAGGGACCATTTGGGATTCTCGACAATGCTTCCCGTTTCATGGGAGCTCACACAGAGAGGCATTGTAGTCAGATGCTTTGCAGCACAAGCGCCGCCACCACTCCATGAGCTCTCACAGAGGAAATCACATCCCTCAGATGAGATCTGGGGTTTGTGTTCTCTTCTGAATTACAAGAACTCAATACTGGGATTGGGTGGAAGGAATGTGGTTTAGAGATGCGGACTGTTCCTCGTGTTTGCTTTGTGGAATATAATGAGCACAGTTTCCAGGCTTGACTAGTTTTTAATCAATTCTTCAGGCGTCGTTGGCCTAGGGAAATGTTTGAACTTTCTTGAGTATGGCTCTGCAATCTAATGTAGGTTTCATGCGCGTGGGAAGCAATTATCCTCCCAGACTAACACAGGCAAAAGTCTGCTGCAAGCAGATTTGCGCGTGGTGTCTGTGTGCAATTGCTGTGCTCTCTGTCTGGGTAATAAAGAACAAAGGAGAACCAGTAGGCATTGCTTATAAAACAAATCACACTGGAAAGATTAACTGTTCTAGTGCAGTCTGCTGTTGTCTTCAGTTACATCTGTAGTAGTGCTTTGACCATCTCAACTTGATGTATTTCTTTAATAAATCCTTAAATATTCCTTATAAACAAAGGCCCATGTGTTCTCATTAGATCTGGAAGATAGAAGCTTTGTCAAAAATAGCTAAATACTAATTTCTCAAAATCAAATTTACAGAATCTGCTCCAGAGAGGCTGTTCAGAGGTTCACAAGCAGAACAACACATTCATCTGCTTTAAAGAACTTCACCATTCATCAAAAATGGCAGACTGGCCACCCTGAGGGGTGCTTTGACGTGACTCCATCTATGTAAACCTGTGGCCTTATGCAGGGGTGGAACATAGGCCTTGGTAGCAGAAAGGGGAATGATTTGTTATGCCTCAGAGCCACCTTTCTGGCTGACAGCAGCGGTGGCAGGGGGGTGGGAGTGCTGTCCCTTCCCCAAAAGAGGAGGCGGTGGGCAGTGCTGAAACGCGGGAAGCGGCTTCTGTGGCTTCGCGAGGATCAGGCTGCAGGGAGGAAATCAGAGTGAAAGTCATGCAAATGCTCTCAGGCTTGGAAGCGCTGGGCTCTGGAGGGCTGAGCCTGCGTATCAGGTGTATCAGCTCTGTGAGGGTTTTAGCAAATTTTGGAAGCACACAGAACTGTGGCAATTGTAAGACATGAAAGACAAACCGGCAGGCTGTGTGTTTTAGGGCTGCCAGATAAAAGCTGCTGAGTATTGCACAAAGTAGCCATAGCTCCTCCTCGAGAGTTAGTAAGTGACGTTATCGAGGAAGAAAGCAAGCAGCCTTTCAGCAGGGGATAATTTGCCCTACAAACTTATGCATAGAATTAGAAAAACAAGCTACACTGTGTCAATGCCAGACTATTTGGGAAGAATCTAGTAAATGCAGAACTGATGTTTTGCTGCAAGGAAGCCCATTTTCAAGTCATGTGAGAACTGAAATAAAAAGAATCTCCCAAAAGTCTCTGTTTGGATGGGCATCTTAACTACTTAGATCAAAAATTCATGGCCAGGGTATAGTGGTGGCCAAGTCTGCCATTCTGGGTTGCAGCTGGGGAGCAGCCAGGGAGAGCCTGGAGCTCTGTGGAACAGAAATGCTTGGTGCAGTCTGTGGGAGTTTCCTTTGGAGGCTGTGGAAGGGAAGTGATGGTTTCATTCAGTGTCTGGTATCTGGTAGGTGAAATGGAACTTGAAAGGTCCTCATCTTCTACAAACAAATTTTGCAGCTTGTGTGAATGCTATCTTTTTCGTCTAATTTTGGTTTCTTACCTTCAGTTTTTTCTCCTTAGCTTCTCAGACCTTCACATGACCCTAATAAAAAGACAAGTGAACTGGACAGAGTCCCAGACTTCATTTCAGCTATAAATCATTCCCCTTCCTCCTATGTGAAAGAGCGGTCTTCTGGGTTAATCCAGAAGATCTGTAGTTTTTGTCATTCCTAGTACTGCATGGTTTCTGGCACCTCACCATCTCTGCTGTTTGTGATACTAGAATATTTGTGTCTCGTGGAAAATCCCCATCAGAGCATGGTCTTGTTGGTGTTGTATTTATCTGCTTTTCTTCTCCCTTGTCTCGTCGTACTTTCCTTGCTTTTCTCCCTCTCTGCTCATTTACCCTGTTCCCATGGATGTCGATGTCTTGCTGGTGAATGGCAGCCTCCTGCCAGGTGCCTTCTGAACTCGTGCTGCTGTAGTGATGGCTGCTCTCCCCTTTCTTTGTCCCAAATTGCTGCTCAGCTGTTTGCAGGACAGCAAAGTGAAACCTGAAGGTTATAGCCTTGGGAGATGGTTTCCCCACAGCCCCACGGTGTGAGCTCTGTGACTCCATGGTCACGACAGGGAGCAGAAATCACCAGTCAGCTTCTGGGGGCTACTCGGGATGAATTTCAATCAATTTTAGCCCAAGTTCAGATGTTATCATTTTCTGGTTCAAGGATTCTTGCCACAATTTGTAATACATAAATCTGTAAAGCAATTTATATTCTCCTGCATGTGTAATATTTTAATGTAGTGATTTTAAATAGCAGCAATTTAATTTTGATTTATAAGAGTAAAAATTTTTATTTCAGATTTTAAGGCTAGGGGGTTTTTAACCAAAAAAAAAGGAGATTAGTGCAGGTCTACACTCATTTGAAGAAGTGAATTTATAGTGAGAAGGTAATAGAGGATGTGCTGCTCTTTTAGGCTGTACTTAATTGGGATGTCTCCTAGGACTCTAGCCTAATAGTGCCAAATGGCTGTGACTGCTACTCAAACAGGACAACGTTAGCATAAATTACATTTAATGTGATTATATTCATCCAGGGTTGAGCAGCTAAGTGATGCTTAGCCAGGTGTTAAATAAGTATGGCTGTCTAAGGTTTAGTCAATTACTGTAGACATTTGCTGATTAAAGAGGGTAAAAGAACAAATAAAAATGAAATTCCTTACTTTACATTGTCTTTGCAACTCTCTAAATTGCTTTTAAAAATATCTCTCTGTAGTCTTGTATTCTTTCAAAATTAAGAAATTTTTTTTAACAGTTCAGCCCACTTATGCAGCAAAATAATTTTCTTACCTATTTTTCTGATAATTTCTGTCCACTTCCTATAATTAAGAACATACTAGTGGATCACATAGTACATATGCAAATTATTTTCTTAAAAAAGATGTACTGTGCAGTACCTCGTCTCTGTAATCCTGTATACAGAACGGGTGCGCTTGTGCTGTAACATTTTAAGAATATGTAGCTTTTTTCTGCAACAAATTACATTATTCTCCCACTAAACGCCTTGCTGCTCTCTCTTCTGACATGGAAGGGAGTTTTACCAGGAGGTGCAGTTCAAATCCCATAAATTTCATGTGCACGCACACCCTGTTGAGATAGAGAAGACTCCAGCTGCATGAGATGTGATCTCTTAACCCTGTGCTAGCACCGTATCCAGCCATGGGCTTTGTAAAGGCTTTTGGCTTTCTTTTTTCCTTGGTTTTCCCAGCAAGGTGTAAAAACAGGAGAATGGTAAGATGAGGTGTTTGCCCTTTTCCATAAATTTCTATTGCAGACGTATTTACTTGGCACTTGCTCATTATTGAAGATTGCATGTAAATCTCACTTAAATGTTAATCGGCATCAAGTGAGCTGCAGTTGAAGTAAAGTTTATAGAGGAAGTGACCCAAAGTGAAGGAAGAATCAGAGAGCAGCCTTCAGGCTTATTTGGTATCCAGGGCTTTGGACAAACAAGGAGCTAT